GATACTTGGTAAGTTGAGCTACACCACACTTGTAACTATACTTCGTTATAAATGATAAGAGAATGTTTGGAAATTGTACACTGTGAAAGTCGGTGGTTTGTTGGTTATTTTGTATTATGCCGTCTCTCCTTACAAAACGAGCCAATTACGCTAACTGAAAAACGATGGAATAGCCTTTTGTTAATACAACCATTGTGAAAGAGAGATAACAATAGATTTTAAAGGTGAGGAATGAGATAGAAGATGTATCCTCTATGTTAAATCTTCTTCTTACAAGAAGAAGACTCCGTGGCTACTTTGAAATACGAACGACCATTTTGGATTTAATGATGGCCAGTTACTGTTGTGGTGGTCGCCAACAATGGTCAATAGTGCCGTTTAGATTTCTTCAGTAATTATACGTCAGTCGATTGTGTCACCAAATTATTATCCAAATCAATTTGATATTGTAAAATAGGAACGCCCACGTTAAAAGGTTATTGCATTAACTTGATTGTTTTGAAAAAATCAATCAACTCGAACGCAATTAACACCAAGAAACTATTTAGTATTCTGTTCTCTATGAATATAGTACATTATTAAGAATTAGAAAATTTTCGAACGCTTCTATACAAGGCGAGATTTATTATTTGCGTAACTTTATGAATGATGAAGTTTGAATCTAATTACATCATTTTTTATTCTAAATTTACTGATATTTTTTAATTTTCTAAACATTTTAATAAAAAATAGTATTTTGTTATACCAAGTAAAATAAACTAAATGTCATGTAAAATCGTTTAAATTAAGTTAATTTTGTTTAATTATATTTAAGCAACTATGGTACTGAAAATTTTCTATAGACTTTTTGTGTATTGAATGACAGCTTTATTGACTTTTTTAATCAGCGGCGCATCTGCAATTTTAGGGGTCACGTTTGATGTTTTTTATTAGGAAAAATAAGTACAATATGCATCCCAACAAATTAAACGGGCCATAATCGAAAACGGTAATAGATTAAAACGTCTAAAGGTTCGGGTAATCGCCATATAAGCGGATGATGACTCCATCAAAGCCAAATTGCGCGCATACTTCATCAACATTAGAAAAAACAAGTTCATTTCCTTGTACACAAACGCGGCGGGGGGTGCTATGTTTAAAAAGTGGTCCGTCAAAAGGCCATCTGTCGTATTTACACTCACACATGGAACTTATACATACATTATTATTACGACATATACACTCACTTACTTGACCATCGGATAATGTAGCGGTAAAATAAATGTCTAACAAAAAAACTCATTAGACGATCGGTTGTTAACGAGGCTTCCCGTGTATGGGTTTGTTCGTTTTCCCTTCTGTTTATATAGTTCATGTTATTTAAAAAAAATTAAAATCGTGTCGCTGTACAGTTCATTTTGTACATTATATGTAAAGACTAGTGACTGAATTTATGTTACGGCTAATTAATAAAATTATGAAGCGATTTAAGAGTGGCACGTGGACTACGTGCGCAGCGAATGCATAAATATTTTACTACAATTATATGGATTAAATAAAAAAACGATTTTAGTTTGACTATCTCGAGAGTTCAATAATAGATCGAATATTTGACAATTTATTAAGTGTATAATATACACTTATATATTATATAGGTGGTGTAAAGACGAGTTAAAAATGAAAAGAAAAAACCTCTCGTGTCTGACTTAAAAAATAACACAACACTTTTTATCCACCGCCGTTTGTAATCAGAATGGTGGTTCGTGTTAAATACGTATATGTACTGACCAACAGCAATATTTTAATTACGTTCATTCTAATTGGTAGCGGTTATCTGTCATTTAAGCGAAAGAAAAATGTAATTTAATTTTCGACCCATCTAACTAGCGGTAGTCACGACTTTCGTGGCAATTTGTTTTTATGATTATCGAGGGGAGTCATTCAGTGGCATTTGGGGCGGTAATCGACTGATGTAGGAGGGAGGTCGGGCAAAAGTTCACTACAGCCGATTGGCTTATTCTCACAGAAATGTTAACTGAATTCGTTTCACAAATTGAATAGGAAATAAAAAGATTTCAAAAATTGGAGCAATCATAATATCAATTTTTATTGTGATTAGTATACTACGAATAATCAAAATACCTACTACACATTAAATTATATTAAAAAAATAAATAAAAAATATAATTAGATTTAAGTGATAGTTATTATTGTTTAAACAAACGCACTAATTAGAAATTTACTAGCCGATTATTAATTACTCCAAAATAAATGTTATAAATAAATATTGTAAATACATTTCAATACAATTTGAAGCAGTTATTAAAAAAAAAGAATCTTAAACTAAATCTCAAGTGCATTTAAAATTAAATTAAAAAATCTTATAAGATAATACCAAAAAAAAATTTTACTAAATGTATTGTTATAATTTTTAAATTTATAATATTAAATACAAATATGGTGACGCTAATATATCAGACGTTATTTATTTCAATTTGTTTTTTGAAGAGTATTAATTGCTTAACAAACTACAAAAAGGTCAACGCAATTAAAACGAATTTAATGTTTTTGACATTGTGTGAATATATGGCGGAAAAGGTTCATTAAGTTAAGTGCATTGCCTGCTTTACGTGATTTGATACTCGTAAACATACACGATGTACATTTTTACATAAATATTATAGAGCGTAGAAAATATTTATTTCTAATTTCACAGTAGAGAAACAGAATAATTAAGATAAATTGTCGTAAAAATACTTATATAAGCTGTGATTAAATAAGTGTGAGTTTCTATTATTCTCTTAGTTTGTAAAAATTATCCTGTTTTCTTTTTTTTTTTTTTTGGTCACCACATATACTTCTGAATTTTAGTTCATATTTTCCTCTAATATTAATTAATACATTAACTGAACTCTTTAGATAGCTATAATTTTTTGAAGATGTGATGCTTTTTATTTATTGTGTTAGCCACAATGACAACATGTTATATAAACATATTATAAATAAGATTTAACGAATTTCAACTACGTAAGTCTTAATGTAAATAATTAACAATGAAATTTAAATTAAAAGAATGTCATTAAAAAATGTATATAATGTTTAATAAACATGAATAAATTATCATATTAATAAATATAGTCGCAAATTAGGGTGGCTTGGAGCAGCTCAACTTCTCTAAAATGTTAAAAAAATTACATATATGATTATATAAGAACATGTAGACAGGGGTAAATCATATATACTGATTATTTCCTAAAATTTTGTTGAAATTGCGCCTACAAAAATAATACAAAAAAAGCTTCAAGAATGTAATATTAGATTAAAAAACTATGTATTGTAAATTAGGTAAAAAAAATTAAATTGCTCCATCTAATAATATGATTTAAGAACACTTTATTAATCCTAGAACCTGGTCATTATAAATACTTTCTTTAATATAAAGCTTTATATTTTCCGTTAAAACTTATAAATTATATTTTTCAATATTAACTTTAATTAAGTCGATTGAATTGGTTACATATACATCTAGTTTAACTATTTTTAAACTCTCAATGATATTTGAATAGTGCATATCAATAAATTGCTTTACTTCAATAAGATATTTTAATTTGTAAGTCCATTTAAACTATTGTAATAATTGATATTAATTTTTAATTTTGCATTATATTAAAAAATTCAAATATAAAATTGAGGTGAGTAAATAGTTTTATATTGAACTTGATTCTATTAATGATTTTTAATACTGTTATGTAGACTAAGATTCCAAATAATACGAAAAATTATTATTCTCTTGAGTTTAAGACAATAATCTAATAATCGTTTGCTTTTAAAAAAATGACATCAGTACTATGAAGTAATAAAGTATTCAGTAATTCTTTACGATTTTCCAACATAATTTTTAATTACAAATACAATAATAAAGAGAATATTATATATTTTTGTAAACATCTGCATACGTTTAATGAAGTTTTAAAAAAGTTTAGTAATCGTCTATGAGTTGTTTTGAACAATTATTTACACCTGGTATAGTATTTAAAATGATAAAAGCAACAATTATTTGTTTAGTATTGTTCAAAATGTGTTACGATTTAAGTAAATATAAACGTCATGTTCAAGTATTAACCATTTTTTACTGTATGTAAACGCCACGTATTGACTTCAGTATTACTTTTAAAATCAGTACAAATAAATAAAAAAACTATGTTTTCTTAGGTTTTATTCAATTATTTGATATAATTGATTAAATCGTTATAAATATTAAATATATAAAAAAATCTCAAGTGGAGCTAATGAGACAAGAAACTGCGACTATCGTCGTACTAACATAATCTATAAAACTACATTGATAACAGTTCAACACTGAAAAAACAGTATTTAAAATATATTGTATAGAATTGATACACGAAGTTCAATAATTAATATGATGATTGAAATGTTAAACAGTATAATTCTAAAATCTTAATAAGACATAATTAATATATACTTTTTTTATTTAACAAAAAGAATTATTTAACAAAAAAAGGGAGGGTGTCATTCTTAAAAATCAATCTGTATATATGTAACATTAATACCTAATTTTTTTTAATTTGTATGTATTATAAGCATTTGTATTAAACCAATTTTTTAATTTCCAGGAAAGCAAAATTAAATATTCCTCTTTTATTTAAGCTCATGAAAAAATATAATTTAATCTTTAAAAATATGTCTTCTAATATTAATACCATTTTCACATTACAAAATATTTTATGTAGTGGTTGAAATAAATTAATAATAGAAAAATACCAATTTTAGTTGATACGTTTCATTAATAACAGATCCTCAAATAAATATTATGGTTTTTTGCATATATAAAAAAAAAACGTTCATATTTTTCACCGGAATTAATGTACTTTAATTTGATAAGTACTTGTTGTAAAATTCTTACAATAATATTTTTTTTATTTGTCTTAATAAAATATTATTCTTGAATTTTAGCTCGCAGAATATCCTACTTTAATAAAACACTTTACAAATGTCTCAAATGCCTTCGGCATAACGCTAAAAATGTTTTGCTAAATTTTGTTTTTATGGTTTCTAAAAACGTCAATGATACAGTAAATGTGTGCTGCGGGCAAATGTTTCCAACTTAAAGTCACAAGTAATTGCTTGCAATCCACAAAGATTTTCATTATAGTTTTGTTCGGTTCTTCTTTAATACTTCTTTTCTCCAGTAAAAATTGCATCCACCCTCGTTCGCCCATACACATTATCCCAATAATATATTACAACCAAGTCGGAAAATGAAGAAGGAATCAAAGGCACAACGTGTTAGCACATTGTGAGTGGGTGTGTTTGGGTAAGAGATCAAACGTCCGCTTGTCGACAAATATACAATAGGTTATCTAACGGATCCAAGGACAATTGGAAAGTATGTGTAGTTGGGGAAAACAAACTTTACGATGAACGAAAAGTCACAAATGGAGCAGATGAGCAGCTGGTGCAAGGCGCTTGATCATCGGGTGTCAAATCTCAGTGGCAAAATAATTCTTTCGATTCTCTGGTTTCCACTACAGTTCTCGTCTCTTTCGATTTCCTAAGCTGCACGGAATACCTTCTTTTTATTTGACAACAATACAATCGCTTTTTCAACTGCTGCTGACTATGTGTGTGGATTGGTGCGTAAACACAGACCACGATTTCGAACAAAACTGAATATTAACATAACTCTGAGGAAGATTAAAAATCATTGGATGTCGAATATTTAATAAATAACGTTCTTTTTCCACCTCGAGCCTCCATTTCTGTTTCTAGACATATTAAAATTTGCTGTTATTAATGATAACTATAAAATTATAGAATAACTCTAGAAAAGGTTCGATCAAAACATTTTTTTCATATTATGAACATTTCCTTTTTTTTTTAATATGTCACATAAATTATCAATAAAGTTTTGGTTTAAACAATTTTTAAATGGTTAATGTAAGTTTTGATAGTAGAGGGATTAAATATTTTGTCATTAATTTAATACGTTTTATAAAAGTTATTAGCTATAACTTTTGTTTAAGTTTTAAAAATGACACTTAGCATAACCTTATTAAAAATTACATACATTTAGAAGTATTTGCGGATAATTTTCAAAGGGGTACCTAAAAAACAATTCATAAACTGTAGTAACACTCCATTATGAGTTATTAAACTTAAGGGAAGCAAAACCGTTAAAATACAATTTCTACTTATATAGAATTATTAACTATAAAAATGTTTACGTACGAACAGTTTAAAAGGTGTTTATAAAGTTAATTTTAGTTTTGAAATAATCTGGTCACTTTGGGACACTGAAGTTTTAGAATATACACAAGTCGAAAAAATAAAAACGGACCTTAAAATACATTTAATATGCGATATAACGAATTTCAAGGGACAGAAATAATAGTTTGTTATATCAAAAGCAAAACGAACAAAAATTTGTTATAACGTGATTATATTATAAACCGACATACAATAAAATGATATTCATTTTCATTAAAGTAGTATAAAAATGTAAAGCTTTATTTTTAGAGAATAGATTATTAGAAAAAGATAGAATTACCCCAATATTCATTTACTAAATACTGGTTATAGGTCATTTTTACAGAGCTCTCATACACTTATCGATGGGTAATATCTTAATAGTAATAATGTACTCGAGAACGTTATAAAAATCATAAAAGCAAGTTTCAAAAATATACAAACTCGCGTATTATAAAACGATATCTTTGCCAAAAAAATCTTTGTTACATCGACAAAACCAATATCTATTTAAATTTTCGAGAAATATTCAAAGTATCGATCGTTTTATTTATTTATTTTTTATACGAGACAAGTCCAAGATAGCCATTATGATATAATTGACAGTACGTCATTAATAACACAGAATTATTCATAAAATTCTTATAAAACAAAACAAATTGGTTTCTTTGTAACTATTTCTGAATACTTATCTCATTAATTTTAATAACATCCATAGAATGCTACTATGTAAATACAGTTATTTTTGTCTGTTTTTAAATGGCTTAAGGTGATTTTAAGTTTTGAAACTGTATTAATTGCGAATAGTAAATAAAAAATTTGCTTAATCGTCGCCTTTGAATGAAAAGTTGTATTACGACTTTTTGAAATATGTTTTATTCGATTGAATAGTTTTCTTTTTTACGCTGCATTATAATAATGAAGAATATATAAAAAATATTCATTACTTAGAGAGTTACAAAGAATCAATAGGTTCGAAGTACTGAAAACTTAATAAACAATTGTTAAATTAGATTTATTAGTTGGAACTATCTTATTTTAGGAGACAAATAAGAATGAAAAGATTTTATGTAGCCTATGTTTCATTTCCTCGGAATAAAAAAATCCAGAACTGTATAATATTACCTCGTCACAGTACTTTTAATAGTAATCAGTAATATATTAATTCATATTTAGTTATAAACGTTAGTATTACTAAAACTGTGCCATACACTTGCTTAAATTAAAAATGTTTTAGATAATAAATATTTTATTTAATTAAAATTAAAAAGGGTCTATAAGTAGAAACTTTTGGTTCTGAACGTCATGTCCCAATAATTTATCATTTATCCAGCTTATAACTAACACATAAATTGTTAAATAAGTTTTATTACATTCTGTATAAACAGTCGAAATATCAAATATTTCTAATTATAGATTACAAAAAAAAAATCACTGTGTACAATAAATTGCTATCCTAAGACACGTAAAAGTTGTATTTGAGAACCTTTTCATTTTATGGCGACGATTTGAAGTATTTCAAATTGAAACTAATCTGTCACATCGGTGCCACCTATCATTGGTCGTATGAGTGAATCTAGTCTATAGATTTTTGAGTTTGCTAAGATTACAGGTGCTATTGGAATAGTAACAGGAGCGTTAAATCTTTAAGTAAAATGGCGATAGTATAGAGCAACTTACTTAGATTTTGTTAAACTGTTCACAAAGCGAAAAGTAATTCACCGAGAGTAAAAATTGACGTCAAAGAAGATTAAACCATAAGCGCGATTACTGATGCAGTTCCATTTTGGGATTTAATTCTAGGAGGAGGAATGATCAAAAGAAAATAGTTGAAGATTCTGTTGATAAAAAAATTCAATAGTTTTACTTTAAGGTAAACCAGAAAAATAATTATTGTTTTTAAACGGTTAATATATTTTTTTTTTATTGTTTAAGTTACAGTTATTTCAATTGAAATCGTATCTAATTAATTGGTTGTTATTAAATAGTTGTAGTTTTAGAAAAATTAACTTTACAAAAACTAAACTAAAAATGAATAGATTTTAATTGCATTGTCCTAAAATTTTAAACATAGTTTACACTGTATATTTTGATAAAATAGGAATAAGAATAGTGTATACCACACTAAATTCTTTTATAGTATGTTACAAAAATGGCCCATAAGTTATGCAGTAATCAAACCTGCTGATATATCACATAGTATTCTTTTGGGTGTAATAACGCGATGTCGCCCCACGACGTTTATCATAATAAATCACATTGTAATGCTTCTTAAATAATGTGTATATTTATATATGAAGATATATTTTTATACGTTAATGCAAAACACGAAAACGCAACTATATACTACTTATCTTGGAGAGGTTGACTAATCCATATGAATTACTGTCACGTTATATTTATGCCAACTATCAATAATTGATACATGGCAATTATTTTTGGTATTGCGACAGCAACATGTTTCAAAATAATGTACTTGAAAAACGATAAATTAATGCACTCGGTGGGGTAGAAAATAGTCAATAATTGAGACGGTAGCCGAATTGTTGTATATTGTGGTCGCGTGTTATGTGTTTGACCATATGTTGGGCTATATATACGTAGAAGTGTTAATGTGTGGTGGTCACCGTCATCGTTTGCAAACGGGGATGGGGTCATTATCTGGCACATGCTATCTTTTGTTTATTAACTGATCCGTTCGCCTAGATAGCGCTGATAATTTATGTGGTCCTCTTCGAGCTAGTTTTATGACCCTAAAAAACATCTTCCTTTCTAACCCTTTTTGTCTGCTAATGGCTACATGACCCCGCTTGATGGCACGCGGCTGATACCCGAAACGTTTTGTCAGAACAACGAATCCGCCAAACGGGTAATAAACGTTCGGTAATTTGGATAATTGACCTACAGTATTGTCTCTGCGAGGTGGATGTTTTTATGGTAGCTCATAATATAAGTACGCATTTCAGACACTTGTGTCACATAGTAAAATATTTATCATTTTTAATCCAATTAAATGCATAAAACACGATTGATGCAACACTTAAATTAACTGACGCGCCGTAATGAACCCATAAATAATTTATTAATTTTATTACATGATAAAATTAAAGAGCAAAACTATGAAGTTTTGAACTCTATATACAACTAAAATAATTAAACGTAAAAATTTATCTTTCCGATAAATAGTCCATGAAATATAGAATGGTTTGGAATTGAAAAATATTTTTTTTATTGCACATTATGAGGAGTGTTTTAACATTTTTCCATCCGTTAGTTTTATTTAGTGCGCACACAAAGAGTACATGTGCGTATGTAAATGATTGAAATTTAGTTTTTTGTACGCAAAATATATGAATGTACAATATAAGTTAAATAGAAACGAAAATAATAGTAACAATAATAGACAATGATAACCCAAGACAATAAGTTTGTAGAACTGTGGAAAGGGATAGAAAAGTCGCTGTTCAACAGTTGCACAGACGATTACATTTTTAAAATTGCAAAAGCTCATGGAAATTCCTTGCCCATGTGATCTGAAGAACTTTATTTATCCACACGCGAGCTTATAATTCATGACCTTTGTTTTACTTTTTATTTATAGCAAAACAATACCGCATAAGTTCAATTCAACGTTACCACTTTCAGCATTATCAGAATGAGTTTTTGTTACGCATTGAAATGTATGCATTATGATACGACAATGAAAACTTTAAAATGACAACTCATCGGGAAAAAAGTTTCTTTTACCTTTTGAGCTCGATGCAAGATTTATAAATGACACAATACATTACTTCATTTTTATTTTTTTAATGAAATCATATAAAAAAACCTATCACACTGTGCAAGAAAAAGTTATTTACCTTTTTAGATAAATTTATTTTTTTGAAATGTTGTTTGATGTAAGATTTATTTTGTAGTACTGATAGATTCTAATTCTACAAATAATGTGAATTTTACATGATGCTTAACCTAGTCTTTTTATGATAAAAAAAAAAACTGAGGAAAATGAACAAAAACATAACGAACCGCAATGAAAACTTTCAATATGTTTCCACGTGGTCAAGCAGTTGAAACTTGAGTATTTTTTTTGCGTTTAAATTTATGAAATCTACCAAAATAAAAGGTTAATCTATACAATAAGCAACAAATATACGCAACCAAAATTAAGTGGACATTTTATCTGGTACAAAAATGTATTTTAATAAATTTGGAAATTGAATTTGAGGATATTTCCGGGTATCGTAGTTATACATAATAATATTATTATTGAACATATTTTTCTAATATTTAAAAATGTAACTATAAGTCTTTTTTAATTAAAATGTAATTCTTTGAAGTATGAGATCAATTAGTTCAAAACATGTTTTACCNCGGACATTTTATCTGGTACAAAAATGTATTTTAATAAATTTGGAAATTGAATTTGAGGGTATTTCCGGGTATCGTAGTTATACATAATAATATTATTATTGAACATATTTTTCTAATATTTAAAAAAGTTAAAAATGTAACTATAAGTCTTTTTTAATTAAAATGTAATTCTTTGAAGTATGAGATCAATTAGTTCAAAACATGTTTTACCAAACGGAAATTCGATAATCGATGCATATAAATGGACCTTATAGATTGGTACACAATTAAATGAATAATATTATTATTCAAGTGAAAATGCAATAATTGTTGTGCAAAATTGGATAGGAAAATTCTCTCTAACCTCATTAAACCGTATTTTGTTATGAGATAACAGCTAATATTCTGATTTTCGAAATATATACCGAGAAATGTTTAAAAAAGTTAGCGTGACAAAGGACTGTTGATTTAAAAGGAAATGGGAGGTGATACTAATGTAAAGAAAAAAAATCGGGGTAACCTTTTAAAATGCATTTTCCCGGATTTATCGTAATTGGTTTTTTAGCTGACAACGTTAAAACCGGGTAAGTGTTAAATACGTTCTCCGATGACAAACGCATCCCCTTCGGTTCATTTTTGTTCAATATTTTATCCCCAGCCCCATTGTTCTTGGTAAGCGCGTTGTTTGCTCACCGTAATTCTAAACGAGCAGTTACTTAGTAAAACGCAACACTCTCAGCCGCCGCTTACTTATAAAATCATATATTTTTTGGCCGATGTATTAGTTTTTATTATCACATGTTTGTTTGTACGATTGTCTGTGTGTGTTTGCCGAACGTATGCTGCACAATCATATTCGTCGTTCCCCTCAAGTACATGGACGTGTGTTCGCGCTTAATCCTTAATTCCAGTTACAACACTAATCCCGCCCCTTCTCATCTTAAATATATTTTCAATAGTGCGCATTCACACAGTCACATTTCTATAGGACCTCATCTACTGTATGACAACAATATAAAAACATCACCAATCATTTTTATGTACAAGTTTAATCACATACCCAGTGAATAAACCGGCCACTGGTGTAGTATTTTATAAGTCTACAGCGATAATAAGCTAAGTGAAATTCTATTTGTTTGTTATTTGATCCTTGACATGTTACTAAACACCGTTGGTTGGGCACAAACATAGAATTATGGAACATTTTATAATTACACTTTCAATGAACAATTATTAATTACAAAGATTTTAAATAAAAAAAATCTAGAATATGATTAATAATGTTATATATAATAAAATTAGATAATTTGTGGCTAAAAGAATTTAAAATCAAAAATGTATTTTTAGTTTTAAAAATGTTTAAGTATTTACAAAACGACATTTTAATAATATTAGGTATTTTTAATCAACGAAAAGTCGATATTTCTAAATGAATTAATAATAACAATAATGTTTGATTTGTTAAAGTGCCTTTACGATCAACCAAATATAAATTTGAGATGTCGTTTTACTAATAAATGCAAATCAATAGTTAGATTATTTTATTGGGAGGCAAAACATTCAAGGATGTCAAATAAATAAATAACGCTTCCCTATTTTATAATATACCCTATTTTTTTAACAACCCCGTTCTTGGATATTTAATGAAAAATAAAGTAGTTTTAATTTTATGCTTTGATAGCATTTATTCAGTCGGCTACCTGCCATTAGATTGCTGATTGACAAACAATCAAAAATCGACGGGCTATTCTTTTTTTTCGAACATTCACGTGCCATAGGTTAAGTACCCGACAGTTTTTATTGTTGGAAGTAAATATTAATTATAGGCGGTTCAACTACCGGTTGACCCTAAAAACTAGTGTTTCCAGTTATCGGTTATTATTCGTTAAAAAGAACGACGGACACAAACAGATGGACTCCGTTTAATTTATACTACCTATGTATACATTGTGTGTCTGTAGTCCGAAAAAGGCACTTAGGTATCTAAGTATACTACTCGTATTCCGAGCATTTGTTAGATGATGCCAAACTCCGATAACTAGTAATAAGGGCGCGTATACACAAACAACACGAGCGGGCACACAAAAGGGGATGTGAAGCCATGTGCCCCATCGTGCGCCTATTTGGTTTATAGATTTACAAGCAATTACATAATTCATTGTTTACATACAGCAGTCACTGTATAGTCAAATAATATGATATACCTTTTCAGTGCCGCATAAGAGCTGTGGTCACTTCCTGTGTAATTGTATCCATCTGAGGCTTAAATTGTTTTCCGTAGTATAATTGTTTGGTATAATGATTATCACAAAGTCATCATTGTCGTCATATCAAACATGTTACTGTAATACGCTATGAACCTGTATTGTTTAACTATGGTAATTAAAGGTAAATTTAAAATTGAAAGATTAACATAAACGTGTTGCCGAGAAAAATGCGATTTGATCGTAACAAATTACAACGAGCAAAACTTATTAATTTATGTGACGGGATATCAAATGACATTTAAAAAATATCGTTATATTTTAGTAGTTTCCATGAAATATACGAATTTCAATTACGTTTTAACACTTTTAAAGCGTTGGCGATCTATTAAAATTCAATTTTTTATTAAGTGTGAAATTGAATATCTATATCATTATACAGCTGCTGCCATAACAGTGCGTGTGTTTTGACTCATAAGCGGAACAATTTGATTTATGGACTCGATTCGTGTCACGACGGAAATCCGCAGATGTTGTTGGATGTGTGAATTTTATGTAAATTACAACATGACTTGATGTGATGATTTAATTTCTCGATAATTAAAATATAAACGCCCCGAGAAGTTTATGTCGGTGGAAATAACGACTAATTTACTTCAAGTTTAACACGTGTACGCCATAATGATATTTAAATTATTTTCTTACGACCACAATAAATAATCCTGGCGAGTCTCTTTAAACGTTCACCTCAGCAAAATAATAGTTTTTTGAACAGTATAAAGTGCATCCATTTTTGATATTACTAATAACGAACGCAATGTGTACAATTTGGGTTTAACGCGGTCTACGAATGCATAAATTATCAAAAACAAAGTAACGCGAAATATTCAGTAGATCAAAAATTACAAGGATCACGAAAACGTCGCGGACCACTCTGTAAATAAAAAAAAAACTTTACTTGGCAAACTTGATTATCATACCTAATATTAATATAATATCTAAATTACTTTTACGTTCGTATGTAATGCAACTAGAAGAATCTGTTAAGATTAAGAGACCTATTAATCAGCTTCGCACTTGTTATGTTACAGCTGTAATTGCGATGTTTCAAAAAATTGAAAATTCAATTCCACAAAAATGTGCAGTTAGACATCCGTCGACTAATGAATGCAATTTATTAAAAAGGCATGTAGTTTTCGTTCAACCGTCTAAGGTAAACATTGTGTGAGCTATAGAGAGGCCCATTAACAGAATTACTGGTCAGAAACCCCTAATTTAAATCAATTACCGACAAAACGCGTCTTATCGGATCTCCCGAAACGGCACTCACGGCATGGCGTGTGCCTCATCAATTATTTACAAGCCACTCCATTGCATACATTATTCGGTAATTAATAAACTCTAAACATTATATTATAAATGCGCGCCGGCCGCAACGCATTATGATTAATTATTATTATTATTATATTTTCTGTAATTACAATTAGCTATTACCTGCAAGGGTGGCCAGCAACACGACGCACGGCAGAAGTTGCGATGGATTTCCGAATCTTAACTAACCGGAACCGTCCGTCCACGTGTTTTAGCCGACTGCCAGTAAAAAAATGTATAAAATATGCTAGTGGGCGTGTACGTCCAACGTGTACATTGTTTAAAAAACCAACAGTCGTTTTACATGTAAGTACGTTGTTTCCGACTGTAGTCGTTTATTACACTATTATCATCATTTATGACCGAAACTAATGGGTACAAAATAACATAATCTCTCATGAAACAGAATGGCAAAGTAAATATTGTCCATATAATAATAATAATAATATTACCACTACATGTTCAGTGGGCTGCGTTATAATATTTAGTCATGATAACACAATTGGACGTGTCCTTAACATGTTTAACGACAATATGGTCTACGGAATTTTTATAGGACGATTTTTTCAAAAATAATTTTAGATCCATTGTAGTGCGAGAACACAATTAGTCCTCTGAAATAAACAAAATTATGGTTTAACGTAACAAAAGCAGTAACTTAACAACAAACAATATCGTAGTCGCTGCTTGACGACTACCGGCGCAGTCATAATTCAAATAAAATTCATTTTTTAATATAACATAATGATATCATTAAACGTTTTTTTTATGTAATTGAAAATTAAGTTCCTTTTAATCATGTTATGTTTCCAAAAACAATGTTATTCCAATGAAATCAACATCGTACCTGGTACTAATTACAAAATAACAACAACACTTTACAAAATTTACCAACCGAATTGGATCAATCTAAATTCTTTCTGTAGACATGAAATTTAGTCGGTGTACAAAAGTAGCAATTATATTCCTAAAATAATTTTCGGTTATGTGTAGTTTCAATCTTGAAAACATCTTTAGCCCTTCAAAAACTGGTCTTCGAAATTACTTCTCAGAATGTCAGATGGTGTTTGCGGCTTAATTATGTGGTGCAGTTAAAAAAACGCACGAAATGCAAACATTACTATTAGTTAAACAAAAAAATTTTACGTGTGTAAAAGTATAACAAAAAAATTATTTTTTAGATGCATCAATATATAGAAAATACATTACTGAGGAATATTTTTACAAAGTTACTTCGATTCTCTAATTGATTTTTTAGCCGTCTGACATGAGTCGAACAGCTAAAAAATTGTAATGGTCAGATTGAAAATTGATTCATATCATTACTGATGATTTCGCTTATATTTTTTTATCAGTATAATTACAACCTCGGACAGGAAACTATTGTTCCGAAAATTAACTCCGCTACGAATGTGAAATATAAGCACAAAACTGCAGACGTGAGTATATCTGTAAATACTATAAATAATACAACAACCCATTAAAGCTATAAAACATTCGGGAAAAAAATGTTTGTAAAACACATTTGGCAGACTTATATTTCACTTGTCAGGTTTTATATAATTATTATGATGAAATCACAGTGAAATTTAACTTGGGCTCACTAAATGCAATAATAAAACATCATTCGAGGGCTTCTTTTATTGTTTTTGAAATTTGAGACCGCACACGACGTCTGTGGCTTTTTTATAAAATTAAACACCACAATTAGGGGGATGTGCGACTATTGCTGGTCGATTAATGTAAGTAATGATAAAAATCTGTCGACAAACAGTATAATATAGATTAAGTACGTACACAAAGACGCAAGAATATGGTGGGCTTAGGGTAGAGAACAAAAAAAAAAAAAAAAGAGAGAGAGATTTAGCCCGAAACCTCCTACCCCTGCTTTTCATCGACTGAGCAGTGAAATTAAAAAATATAGAAAATTAAAGCCAACCCTATAACCCTTCCGGCATCGTTTGTTCATTAAAGTACTCTCACACACGCATCGCAAATTAGTCAACAGTTGAAACCTTTTTAAGAAACTTCGAACAAAACAACAAAAATAATAAATAAATAACTGCGCTTTGATTTACACCCTACTGCCGTACAGTTATTATTATTACAACTCTTGCTCGGTCCAACCTCATTTCAACGCTTTGCACTTATTGTACATTATTATTTCCATGACGGATGGATATACATATACATATTTTTTTGTATTACTATTTCTTTGCTACAAAAGAACTGGCGATTTTTTTGTCCGCCCACCGTGCCCGCGCCCAGTACACCGTATACTATTTTTGTTTCGGGGCAAGCACCCCGCGGTCGATACATCAACAATAATAATAACAAACAAAAAATGTGTGTGTTTGATCGCCGTTTGTTATAATATTATTATTATTATCGTATAATACTGTAAGAGTGGGCGTGAGCCTTTGGGTAGTCGGTTCCACGGCGCCGTTATACATTTGATGAAAAAGTCGCCAAACAGGAAATAATTAAACCTCGGTCTAGTTATTATCTCAGCTGGTGCGTTTCGGACCTGAAGCTAAAAACTTATGACGATACCGGTTGAATGAAACATAAATAGGGTGGAAGTATATTAATATAATCTAAGCAGTCTCCTTTATTGTTCACTCCGGAGGTATACCCGAACGCCTATTTTATTCGCCTCTAAATAATTGCTGTACTGGAGTAGTTTTTTTTTCAATAACCGTTGACTTATGTGGCTAAAAATGAATTGTAAAAGCAAAAGTTTTTGCAATAACAGGACAACATTAATTCGATAACTATAGTCTATTATAATTGACTCTATTAGGAATGACTTAGTAGATTAATCGATCCGATAAACTTATAAGCTGAACTGAACGTTTTACAACACATAAAATAAATACTTAAGAGATAATAATTATGTACAGTTATTGTAATTTTAAAGTCAATAAATTTCAATCACTCGATTTTTCTAGTCCGAATGGTTGTCAGATTCAAAAAATAATTACATCTGATCCATTTGGAAACATTTAATTAAAAGTCCGGCAATATTTTTAATTTTCAGATCATTGGTCAATTATGAAATTCAATATAACTTATGTTTTCAGAGTTATTTAGCGGAGAGATTTGACGCGATCAAATAACCAAAAAATAATTTGTTTTCTTTTGAACGTGTGAAAAATGAAATAAATAAGTTTTTAATGTATATCGTCTCTGCCGATATCAATTTACTGAAACATATCACAGTATTTACTTTTCTAATTTCAGCTCTTCGCAGTTTTTTTAGTGCACCTATGGGATATTTAATAAGCTCAGTTGTTATAACTAAGTTTAATTGTATCAATTATCACTCGGTGTTATTAAATTACTAAATATGATAGTATTACTGCTGCATGAATAATAATAATAAACAAAAGGAATGTTGTTTTGCAGTATAGCAATCTAATGACAGAATTTCATTGTGGGAACGGACGAGTAGAAGAAATTACCAAAGAAGTTGTATTAGGTCGACTGTAATAAAGAAAAGGCACATTACAGTAGAATATGTTTAAAACTTCCAGTTGTGACGAAAACGCGACTGAATTACCCAAGTATTCTGAACCCTAAGGAAATGCGACACCCGACAACGGTGATGGACAAATGAATAATTTTTTACATACACTAAAATCCTTTCATTCTTTATTTTTGCGCACGGTTTGCCATGTACAATGAGTATGAGCGATTAGTGCAAAAGACTACTGAATACCGTCGAGTGTTGTACGTAAAACCACTTTTGTTTATTCAACACACGCACTGCTATTATTTTATTGTTCATTTGCTTTTCAAAACTATTGTCCTGCTGATACAGTTTATTTTCCGTATACGGTCGGGGTAAAAAATTAAAACCGTTTTAATTGGCATATTGCAATAAATGTAATATTGTAATGAAAAACATAATTGTTTTTATACAAATCATTTATTGGTTTATTTATATCATTACTTATTTACCTACACATTATTTTATCAACAAAATGAGTTAAAATGCACGAATAGCACTGCGATGAAGTCAAAATAGGCCAATGACAGTTTAAAAAATTGATAATAAATTAAACATTATAAATTAACAATAATAATAAAAAAAAAAAATGTAATAAAATAAAAATATCATAACGATTAAATTGCTACACTAGCAAAACTGGTAACTCTAAACAAAAATTGTAGTACAAAATAACAACTTAATACACGAATCGATAACCATGATTATGTACAAAACTTCATTTAGCTTAATTTTTTATAGTTTGATAATAATCTATGGAATAATATATTAAGTATTTATAAATGTAAGTCTACAAATTGTAAGTATATTAAAAAATCGAAAACACCACGTAAGTCGTTCGCAGTATGTACATTTACATATGTAAGACTACTCGGTATGACAAGATAATTTGGTCCCATTTTATAATTTTAATGAATAATATTATCGTTTGGGACGTCTAGTTTAATTTTGAAAGACGGCGGTTATTAAACCAATCCTGGCAAGGGCGCTCTCGACACCACTGGACTAGTGGACAGTGTGTGCGTGATGGTGGACGTGCTGGAAGCCGTTATGCCGTGGATGTGATGCTGAGACGGCGGAGGCTGTGGTTGCGGCGGCGGTTGATGGTGATAGAATAAGGACGGTGGCGGGGGATACGCCGGCGCCTGAGTGGACGCTGAACTATGAGGTGGCGTTTGCGTGCCTCCTGCCGAGGTGGTCATGTGGTGATGGTGTGCCGCCGAAGAAGACTGTTGATTTGATTCGTGGTACAGAATGGGAACACGGACGAGTCTCTGAGCGGCGTGTGCCATATTAGCCGCTTCGATTTCCGCGGCCACTTGTCGCTTCCACTTGTTCCGCCTGTTTTGGAACCATATTTTCACTTGGGTCTCCGTTAAGTGTAACGAAGCGGCTAAACCAGCTCTTTCCGAACTCGACAAGTATCGTTTTATATCGAACGTCGACTCCAACTGGAACACTTGACTGCGCGAAAACACAGTCCTAGTCTTCTTCTTACGCTTACCACCGCAACTTCCGTTATGGTCTTTTTTTCCATCGCCACCAATACTGTCATCCTCCGGGCCGTCGTCCATTACGTCGTCGTCATCATCACCGACCGAATGATCCATGTACCGGTTTTCACCACCACCAACACAACCACTCATAAATCGTCCGCCGTTAGTACGATGATGATTCGGAGAGCCGCCGCCACCGTCTTCGCCAGTTGACCAGCCGTCGGGACTATGACCAGCTACCGACGAGGTCCCCCCCGTATTGACGCCTACACTATGAGGCGTACTGGGCCGGCTAGTTTCTTCGTTAGCTGAACTCGAACCACCTGAAAATAGAAACAAATACTTTAACTCGTCGTCATGTCGAAACGCGCGTTGGAAGAACAAAGTCAGAAATAACTTTTGACATAAATTGTTTTAACTATTAATAGTAATCAAAACAATTTTAATAATGTTTAAATTACTGTGTGTTCTGAGTAAATAAGTGATTGCGGCCATTTCGAAAACTCTAAGTGTACATATCGATAATTTCTATTTATTTTTGGACGATTGAATCAATCGACAACGAGTATTATTAAAATTGATTACGCCCTATCAGATCATAAACGGATATGTGAAAATGAATTTTATTTAACATTAAAACATAACTTAAGTCAGTGATTATTAACTTGTACGTAAGAACACATAGGAAGGGAAAGCGATTTAAATATTATCAGGTGAGCGGGGAAGCCGTACCCGAACAGTTTAAACGAAGCCGTTGAACGCTAACGTCGGTGAAGCCTTTTGTACCAAAACGATTTTGATGTGGACTTTAGAGGCATCGATATTGGGTAGATGACATCAAGATAGCCATACCGTAAACGCTACGTTTGTTTTTCTATTTGGTCGACTCGGTGGATTATACGACACGCATTGCCAAAGCATTCGCTCGAATAAACTATACACACGCGGTATTGCAGTTTATACATAAAAAAATCATTACTAACCGGTTGGACTTATCGCTGCTGTTAATGGCTGTGACCACGCCGAGTACCAATGCTTGTCCAACACGTTGGCCGTATTACTGGTGATACCAACGCCCGGGTAAAGCATAAACGGACTCCGACCGGAAGCCGCTGCTGCCAAAGCACCAAAGTGACTCATCAAACCCAATCTGAAACAGTTAAAAAAAAAAAAATGTATTATTTGATTGTTCTTCAAATGTCATTTCGTGGCAATCTGGCAGTATAAACTAAACCAAAGTGACTCATCAAACCCAATCTGAAACAGTTAAAAAAAAAAAAATGTATTATTTGATTGTTCTTTCAAATGTCATTTCGTGGCAATCTGGCAGTATAAACTAGCCGATCAATGAATGTAACATATAAAATTTCAGGTGTAACGTTATACACAACGTATAAATGTAAACGTTGTAATGTAATATTATATTAAAATTATTGTGCTTTTAATACCAACTATATTTGTAAATTGATGGAGGTCTGTATCGAGATTTTTTTAATTACACAAATAACTTTATAAATTGTATTAAAGCATCAAGTTTTAAAAATGAATCCCACGAGTTAAAAAATATGAGCTGTATTTTTTAATTAGCACTTGCTCAGCGAAAACATTTTAAACATTTTGCTTAAATTATTGCTCGAGTTAAATTAGTCTCTGAAAGCGGAGATTACTTTTGGTATTCGACAGACGAATTGTACCTGAAGGTAATCCAAATAATCGCCTTGAAAGTTTGCTTATTTATTGCGAATACAGATTATTTCAATTTGTTTGCAGTCTGTTTTTTTATACAGATATAACTTTTAACGAATCTCTTCTTTATTTCACAAATACCGTCAATATAGATTGTACTAAACTTTTAGGATAAATAAATAATATCTTTTTATAATTTTCATTGGCCTCGTTTTTTACAGAGTAATTACCCCCGGATTGCTTTTGGCATGACTGATCTTAAAAACTTTGTAACCAAAGCAAATGTTAACAATGTTTGCTATGCGTCATCGGTATCTAATAATGTAATGCGCTCGGAAGCATTACGGAAGTTTAAAGTTCAGTGTAACAACTTTGAACGACATAATCATTGTGCGCCGGCAGATTATGTAGTTGCGTTGTTGTAGTGAGCGGCGGCGGTGGTGGTGGTGGCCCGATTGCCAACAACAACGAATCACCGCGGTAAAACGTTCCTTTGTCCCTCCACTTGCCGTTGTTTCAACGGGCCGTCCCTCTCTATTTCTCCATCCGTTTCCTTTCACTTTTGCGCCGGCCAAAGCGTTGCCCGAGTTTGTTCAAACTTTATCCGCAACAAGAGCGATTTCACTGAAGTTTAGTTTGAAATTAATATTTAATCGTTCGATAATGGTGCGGGCGTAATAAACTTTAGACCGACCGACTCCGTGGGACGTCAGGGGACTAACCGAGTGTATTAACGCGCAGCAATGTTAAAAGCATTTAAACCGTCTTTCGCTAACGCGGCCTCTTAGGTTCTCTCCAGTTAATTATCTAATTACTCTGCTCATCCAATCAGGTTGCCCCGAAATAGTATACTGTTGTACTAACGTTGCCCGTATTACTATTCGTTCGAGTAAATCACAGAATCGGATAGTTAATAAAAAAAAATGGGGTTCAATGGTAAATCATTTTTTATAATGCAATGAATAAAAATCAAAGGTGTTTCGTAGTGTTATTTTATTTAACATTATGTTTGTGTTTGTAAAAATAATGATATTCATAGAATTTGTCAGAGATATTATTGGAAATGTCTGAATGATTTATCTTGTTATTAGTGAAAATAATTTTTTATCGTACGTGATGGCGAATAAATAATAAGGTTTATTTTTAATTTATTAAAATTATATTCGTTTGTCAAAAGCAAAACACTTTTAAATAGTATTGTGTCTAAAATACAGTAAAAGCCGTTAAAAATATTTTCAGTGGTTAAAAAAATTTATGTTTGTAAAAACTGTCTTCAAAAGTATTTTATAAGTAATTTTTAAACTTTTCCTGTAGATTCACGCACATATTACATATTTGCATGTAAAATAATTTATATTTGCCATTTATTGTGTCTATGTGTCTATGAATTTTCGTGCAAAAATATTAAAATGAGTGATACGAAAAATAATATAATTTTAGATTAATTTTACTTGTATTTCATAGTATATATAAAATTGTTGATGCTTTTATGGTTATATAATTATTATTAGGTGCTTTTAAAATTTTAATAACGCCAACTGTTTCAACATATTATGATATAAACACCTTTTTTGTTTCATCAATCCATAAATCTATAACATTTACACATAATAATTTTATCATTGTCATTCATAAGTATGCGCATTGCTACTTTTTTTCTCATTAAAAATACAACGGAATATCCAACAGAATTTTAGGATTTTAATGGCTTTAGCTTAGTGTTCGGCGACGATTACCTCCTCTTTTTATCAACTGTACTTTTATAAGTCGGCCGTAAAGACTCGTGTAGACAAAATGCATCGCACATTTGTTATATTAAACTGTACAGTGTTGTTATGTATACGTGTGTCCCACGCGTAATTCGATTGGTCGACCGATCTGTGTGTATGTGTTTGCCAGTGCGGGGGCGCTGAAGAGTAGAAGGTAGCAAATTATCGACAAGTTCTCATTGCCGCGCCCTTGCCCGAACAGATAAAGGAGAAGGGGAATCTCATTGCGTTCCTCCCTCGAAAACCACCCCCGGCGACGGGGAATTTATCACCGTCAAAAATGGCCGCCGCAGTTACCGTTTTTGGTTTTACACAATAATAATTACATCGGGCGCGTCCAAACCTACTGAAAATGCATTAGCCGTAATTGATAGTTATGATTGCGTCCCTTTGACTGTGCGCCACAACCCTCTCAACACATCAAAAAAGTTTTTCACTGTAATAGTAATAAACACATGACGGAGCGCTATAAACGCATTTTGGTGATAATTACAAAGTGTCGCGATAAGTGATCATCCGCCAATATATAATTGTACCTATTTAAATATGACATTTTAATGTACCGAAAACCAGTTGCTTACTTTTAAAATGAATTTCCCCGCAGAGAACAAAAATCCAAATTTTCTCGGTTGTCAATTCATTTGAGAGATGTGTCCCAATAAAGTATAAAAGAGATTCAAAATTGTTCAATTATTTCTATTATGAGTACTATTTTTTCTGACTCCTAAGAGCTCGCTGTTTTTTATTTTTTGGGCGTTAAAAGTATGCAAAAGCGGCAATTCATATAACATTCATTAATATTAATAACTTTTCTTTATTCAAATGATAATTATTTTCAGGACAATTATACCATATATTATAGTTTTTTAATTTGTACATTAGGCGTTAAGAGAAAATAAAACAAAAATTAGTAAGATTATTATTCTAAATAGTATGGAAAATTATTTAAAAATATTGAAAACTTAAATTATTATACAACAAAAACATTGACAAGATATTTTGAATATTAAAAACGTTGGCAATTTTATACATAAACAAAAAATACTCGATTTAACTAATTTAAATATAACGTTTTATTCTTTCAAATTATTAACAAAAAAAAAAAAAATACTTAAATAGATTGCATGCAATGTGACCATTAGTTTTAGTAAGTTTTAACGTGTCGCGGCATGCGAGTATATTCAATTTTGAAGTTTTAATTTTTAGATTCAAGTACTAATGTTAAAACGAAATAAATTTCATATACTCATATTATGAGTAATTTAAAAGAGTACAATGGAATGACTTAAAAAGACGTATTAAAATTAGATAAATTAGATTTAAAAACTATAGGGTTTATTTGAAAATTAATAGACTCTTGTTATCATATTGTAGAGTAATTTTTAAGCCAATTTAATATTATGTAATAATACGTGTAAAACATTAAAAATTAAAAGTCCTAATTGGTTTACGGAGCACTCAATATACCTACTCAAAACAAATCAATTGTTTACTTTTTTTTTGCCTCTCGGCTTATACACTTTTAATACAATTACTGGCGAGTGCTTAAACGCTTCCAACCAGACATATCTTAATAGTAGACCCAGTTTTGTTCGTGTTTTTTATGCTTGTATATAATTTTTACAAAATCGTTCTCGACTTATATGATGCCCGTTAAATCCCAATAAATTTACCATATTCGTATCAAAGGTGTAGTGTATGTAACACATCTTAATTTAAAACAATAGCGTAATTGCTCAACTACCCAAAGTCGGTTGGCGGTCTCATACGCTTTGGGTGTTCTCGCAGTATGAATTATATAAAACAAAAAACAGCTAAAATAAGAACACACGCAAAGTGATCTATTCTGATTCGCTGTCGGCCGTTTGTAATCAACATATCATGACGGTGTGGTGCTCTTCTGGACTGAAGAAAGAGGGGAATGGAAGAGAGAAACAGAGGAAACTGGATATCAATCGAGTAGACAGCAAAATACCGTTTTTTTTTACAAGAATTCAGAAAAAAGGGTTGGTTTTCAATCAGCTTTTGTGATCCACGGGATATCAACCTATTGAGCTCTGGACAAACTACAACAGTGTGCCGTGTTTTTCATGTAATTAAGAGGGTTGTTTGAAAATAATAGAAAAAATTATGTATAATCAAGTAATATAAAAGAGTTAAGAGTGCCAGTGTATTTATACTTTACACATAAAGCATACGTCGTGTTTGTGTGCGTTAAAATGTAAAAAAAATATTCTAGAGTTAAACAATCGGAACGTTTAACACAAAAGGTTAATGAGAAATCGCTTTAGTTTTTTGGCGATTAAATAATTTTTTGTCGTATGTTTTGTCTCCGCCACCGCGATCGCCGTCACAGTGTTCGCGTGGGGTCTTTGGTGACAATGTTGACGGCTGCAGCGATTCTTAGGGCTAAATACTAAAGGAAATCGCATTACTATGAGGACATTTAATTCATTTTAGAAATTTAAATTGACGTACGACATAAAAAGACTATTGTGTATTTTGTGGTTGTGTAGTTATAAAATTTGCTTAACCTACTAAATGTTACCGATAAAAGTCCCCGAAAAAACACTTTGCGGAATTTCAAGGTTCAATATTTACATAAAATTATCTAAGATTCCAGTTTGAAGTTTTTCGATTGAAACTTTGTTTTATATCTAAAATATATAGTTTCATTTTTAAACGTGCATAGTCTATAGTAAAACTACTCTAAAGAAATTAGTAAAATTAGTGTCTATAGAAATATTTTTATAAAGTTATAACTTTAGCTGCTCCTTCAACTTTTTTTGGAGGGGAGGTTGATTTATGAATTTTATAACTGATGATGAATTATTTCATTTTATGATATATAATAATTATAAGGAATAACAAGTAGGGTCATTTATTCAAGCCTCTTTAGCACTGAAACACCCCAAAAAACAAAATTCTTAAATTCTAAAATTTCCATAAGTATAATTACACCATTTAGTTAAGAACTAATATATATAAATATAACAATTGAAATCCACATAAGATAAACAAATATATTTTAAGCTATAAAAACATGATAAAGACAAATTTTTTTCATACGGATACAAACAAGATAAATTATTGTAGATTTATTGAAATATACTTATACAACAAGATGTGACAAAACGTTTTAGACAACACAAAAGTTTTACCGTGTCATTTTTTATTTCAACGTGGAATGACAATATATTTCAGGAATTACGATAAAATCGTTTGATTTAATAATAGTCAAAAATATATGAGACTATAATTTATAATAAAAAATAATGCATGTTTTAATTTTCGAGAAAAGAATAAGAAATTGAAATTTGACCTTTAGTAATAGTAATAATTTATCTGTTTGACTTTCAGTAAAATAAACAAAATTATGACAGTTTTTGGCTATACATAACTAACAGACAGGTTTATTTATTAATATTATTATAACGTTATCTGTTAAAACTTTTTGTTTTTGTTAGACAAATGTAAATAAAATGTAAATTGGAAAAAGTTTACCGGGCAGCAAATGTCGTGCAAGAGTACATTTTTGAATAGATATATAAAGGTATTAATTANGGACCGGAAAACCTACATAGCTCAAGTATTCAAGTAAATACGCACCTAGGCACATTATCACCTGAACTAGGTGAGTCTGTAAATTAAATGTAAATTGGAAAAAGTTTACCGGGCAGCAAATGTCGTGCAAGAGTACATTTTTGAATAGATATATAAAGGTATTAATTAGCAGTACTATATTTATCCAATGATAACTATCTAATCAGATAGGAAATTATTGTAATAGAAACATAGACGTATAATAATTCCCAATTGAAAACGAATTTATTATGCCTCTAAATAACACCATTTTGAAACTGTTTAAGCTTTATATCATGATTTTTTCGATTACAAGATGTCCTGCTAATCTTCTTGCATAATTTACTACTAAAGGGCGTCAATTAGATAAATAGACTTTTAATACTTAACGTCTAAAGTTCTGGTCGCATTACAATTGGTCAATGCGATTATAATTAGCAATGCGATGCACAATATTACCTGGAAAGCATAGCGTGGTCGGCAGCAGCAGCAAGATGAGCGGTGACGTCAAATGCAGCGGCGGCAGCTGCGGCGTGATGAGCATTCGCTATGGGCGCACCGCCGGCATTCTTGTGCTGATGTCTGTATGCTGTTTTAGGGGCGTCTTTGCTCAAAATGCTGGAGATGGAAAACGACGTGTAAGGTGCGGCTGACTTGACGGGCGATCCATCTCGTTCGTCGCGGCTACCACCTCCGGCACCGTTACAAGTCGGTTTAGCCGAAGCCGGCCCGTTAGCCAACACTTCTCCGTCATCGTCGTCATTACCAGTAACGTCTATCCGCGGTGATTCCGACATTATGCCACTGTAACTGTGCCGAAATTGATGGCGGCGTAGAGTTTGTTTGGCTTTAAAAAGCTATTTGAATAGAAGAAATGTTAAATGACTGCGCTAGACCACAGCCCTCGACGGGTGTGGATAATCGGCGGTGAGAGCGTTTTGTCGTCGTCGTCCGACCGATCAGTTAGTTATACTGATGAGACGGTTAGTGGTGTAGGATCGCTTAAACGGTCGTCCTCCACCACCACCACCACGGGAGTATTATTATTTTTATTTTTACCCCACCTATTGGGGGTGCGCGCGGACATGTTACCCTTGGACTCCGTTACGGCGCGCTACAGACGCTCCGCCCATCCCTGTTAATACAGACACACCCACCCCATTGGCCAAAAGGGACCGACCACCCTCCTTTGCGCACCTCTGCATACCACTCTCGACTCGGCCCGGTGTCCGCAATACTCATTGGTGGCGATCATCGAATTCCACTTATGTACATGCAGCTCTCCGTCTGTAATAGGCACCTATTTTCTAAAATGTGTAGATATCTATTTGTTATGTACATAATCGCACTCTATTAAACATCACTCGCCGCTAAATTGTAAATGTGTGTACTGCTGTTCATTAACGCCTGCTGTTAGATCCAAAAAAGTCTTCAGTACTACCCAAACAACAGTGTTTTCAGTATCCATCTGGGACGTTTCGGTTTTATTTTTGTTAATCGTTGTTTTATTCCCTTGTTTTAACTGTAAATTGCAACAAAACTCAGTTACATTTAGTCGAAAACGATTTTATCGAAACAAAGTACACTTTTAAAAATGTTTGAAATCCTACAAAGTATGAATTGATTTAGTCAATGTAAACTTTCGCTTTTGATTCCGTATTTTTCATTTGCATAGAAAAATAGCGACTTTAAGTTTAAATTCGCGCACATTTGCTATTATAATAAAAATTTTTAAATCAAAACCTTTGTAAATTTGTTCAGCGAGTTTTTCAATAAAAATAAACGACAAACATTTAGTGAACAAATTCAACAAGTAAATATTTTATATGTTCGAAATTTGAACACGACAATAAAAAAACCAGTTGTACATAAATCGAATTTGGTTTCAAGTACGATCGAGTTGTGCTAAATTTGTTAGTACATAAAAATTGAAATAATTGTTTAATCTTTTACTGTTTCAACTATGTGTATTTTTAATTACTAAAGCTCGGCAACAAATAAATAAACAATCCATTGTGTATGGAATGAATAAAGGTTAGCACTACAACGGGGTAGTATCGTATTTATCCAAAACCGATGATGGCAAAAAAAACTCTTAAATAGCGATATTTTTTCCGAAAAATGCTATCAAATAAATAAACGAACAAATAATGAGTTTCAGAAGTCCTTAATGGAAACAATAACAAAGGAAAGTTTGTAACCTTTTGTGCCGCCTAAACTCAACCCAACCCGCCGACCGGGTTTCACAATTAGCCAAAAAAACCGATTATTTGTTATACTCAAAGTTTGAAAACATTTGAATTCCGATTGTTTTCCGCTTTATTTATTCCATTGAAAATGTTGAAAAATTACCCTCGTCAAAAAGTGCGGCGTTGTTGGCTTAATGTTCGGCCGTCATCCCCAGCGGAATTCGCAGTAGCAGCGCATCAAAATTAGTATTAACCGATGGGGTGGAATTAATGTGAGGAGAAGTACAAACGTTGCCGGGCAAATTCGAACAGCTTGTGTGCCGTATTAATAAACCGATCTCGTCGTGACTGCGCCCGCCGGACGGGCCGAGTTGGGGTGGCACTCAATCAAAGCTATTAAAAGCTTTTTCTCGTCGAGTACGCACGATGATGACGATAACGCGGCTGGTAATGGTCGCGGTGGTTAATAGTTACCAGTGGGGTCGAAATGATAATGGCACAGGTTTTCCCCGCTCGGACACCCTCGCCGATTAGGAATGTCTGCAGCGATGAGCAACACACTATTATGTCAAACCCCACGGCGTAATGATATCATAATTTAATTGACATTACCCGGAAAGGATCGACAAACCAAGTCTGGCAGAGTTGGGTTTCCCATCTCAGTTGTTTGACGGTATCGCCATTGCAGTTTCTTCAAAACAAATCGATTACACTTGTTCACTTCTAATGTATCTTGATTACAAATTCGCATAATCACTTTTGAAGATATTATTTTAAGCCGACTACGACTAATTGGAAATAACCTCTGGTTTGTTTAATGTATAAAATGTTTTTTTTTAAATAACATACGCCTTATGTGCAGTGACTGTGTGTTCAAAACTTTAAGTAATACAACTTTCTTTTAATATTACATTAATTGCTAAATAATGGATGGTTTCCCAACGAAAACCATATAGTTATTTGATAACCAAATAAAATATAAACTAAATTAACTATTAAATTATGCACAGTAATTAATTGTACGTGTAATTAACAATTTAAAAAATATATGATATAAAATAGAATTTTCTATCAATAATTATTGATAGAAAATTGTTTTTTATAAAAGCTTGAGCTTTTGAAATACTTGCGGTTAGATAAAGTGAATAGTTTTAAGTTACAATGTGTTGAAATGCAATTATAATTGAGTGTTTTTGAAAGACTCGTTATTTAATCATCATGATTACTTTTTGGATTAGTTGTGTCGTCAAACGCCAACAGAATATCGATCTGCCTCTCGCTCTCTTTCAATGTAGTGATAACATAATGCTTCTTAAGGCTTCCTATTGATGCGTGCGTAGATTGCTAGTTGTATTATCACGATTGTATCTTTACAAATCCATCAATCCCCCCTAGGGTAAAGTAGCCAAATATGCCCACTGTAGTATTAAATTACGATTTATGCTTTACTCTCTCACCTAAATACTATAGTAAATTTTTGCCATCATATTTCGCTCTATGAAACAATAGCCTTTCAACAGTCACGAGAAAGTTTTTTTGCTCTGTAGAGCAATATATGAACTATATTTAGTTAATTTTAGACACATATATGTGTCTAAAAGCTTAACGTAAGACTTCGGCTCCAGTGTTACTATAAATAAATGTAAAACGTATTATATAAGTAGAAACACTACTATTTCGACTCGAAAAAGTATTTCTTGAAATTTAATCAAAAAAATCAACACATATTTAATATATTTTTTTATATACCATGTGTCTCAAATTTTTTATTGAGAATAACTTCATAAATTATATGACTTCAAATAAAAAACAACGTTTTTGGTCTTGCGACTTCTTTATTTTATGTTTTTTTTTTTTTATTTGAAGTAAGTTAATATTTAAATTAGATATAGAAAGCTACTATAGCAAAACGCCCGAAAATTAAAAACAAAATGAAATGCTCGGACCGCCCTAATAAGTATTTTATAAGCTCGTATGCCAATTTATCTATAAATGAATCTTAGCCTATTATTCAAAGTGAAAACTACTCGTTATTGTTTTGTATTCAATGATTTCAAGTGTTGAATATTATTGAAAATTGATGGGCGTTTTGTTTTTTAAATGAGAATAGTATTCTCATTTAGAAAAAATATAACTACGCAGACGTGTCGTGACTAATACTTTTAAACAGGCACAGAAATTTACAGTTGTATCGCATAAAAAAGATGATTGATCGCAGTGAACGCTCAGTACAAAAGGTACTCGCCAGTAATTACCTTCGTAGAAGTACAAATTGTGTAAAAAAAAAAAAGTGCGTATAGTTATAATAAAACAGATAGAACGTAGATAAGATAATAATGCTACAAATAAACGGTACATAATATGAGGACACTGTGGTGGCCGCCATCGGTTTATGGGGTCAGTTTTCGCCGAAACGACGGTGTCAAATGGACACGTCTTCTTCTGTGTGCACGTCGGCGTCGATTTCTTCACCTCATTGTGCCAAATAAAACCGATTTTCACGGACCCACTTGAATAGGACAATGGCGTGCAAGTAAATAGCCACTCGTATTTACTATGGCCAACGTGCAGTGCACACGCGGCGGATTATAGTGTTTGTGTGTTTGTCGTATGAATAAAGATAAAAATAAAGAATAGCTGCCAGCAGAAATAAGAATTTGTACGATAATAAGAACCGTATACATTTATACATAATACACGTACTATTAAGCGTGTAGTATTAGCTAGTACGTTAGTGTACGTTTAAAGCAAAAAAACAGGAAAAATAATAATAACAATGTGTACGTACAAGAACCGGTACTAACAATATCGGTTCTAAAAACTGCAGGAAGAGCCGAGGGACAACAAAAGGCCGGCAGCGCGTCTATGTGCCAAATCATCTACGAAAACGGGTCGGCTACGCGTTTGTATGCATTAACGTACCGCGCGCGCATTATGCCGGGGTCCATATCTCCCTTGTATTTAGCCACTACTCAAAATATATCAGCTATACTATTAGCATTGCTAATAGCAGCACCGCGCAAAGAGGTGCACGTTGTATATTATATTGTTGTTGTGATGGCCGACCGTGAAACTATAATTGATCCGGCGTCAATTGTTGTTGTGAACGCGAGTAAACGATTTTCCTCGGGCCTATTATTGTTATTGTGTTGTATTTATCTTTTGATTAGCCAGATAAAATGTGCGGTTTTACCGCTAAGTATAGCGAATTCAAGTAGCTGTTGAAATTTTATGTCACTGGTGTCTCAAGATGTTTAATGGTAAAACACGGCCGCTGTATTGGCTTGGCGTAGACCATTATGTGCACAGACAAAATAAAAAATAACCTGACGCCTGGCCGTAAAAAATACCTGCGTATGTTTCATCTACCCTCCCCTACTATTTTAATTTATATAATCAAGTGTATGATATTTAAAATATAGTTTTCTCTGGGGCATAGCAATACTATACTAGAGTAAATTTTTTAATCATTCTGGTTTAATCGCTTTTCTCTCAATTCATCTCCTGAAAAAATATAATAAAATAAAAAAATTGGCTATTTGAATGATACACTTGTTTATTTGGAAACTAATTATAAAAAAATGTTACGTAGTATTCATTTTTAGTTAGTAAGATTTACTTATAATAAATATAAATAAATAACTATCTTTATTATCGTATAGTGTAATAATTATTTTAGTAATATAATTAATTAAAAACTAAGCTTTACTTTTTAATTATTTGCATAATCATAAAATAATTTGACAAATAATAATACCAGTGACGTGCTTAGGATATTTTATAAGAAATAGGATTTTATGTGACAAAATTT